AAATATATAACAGTATAATTATATAAAATCAATGTTTTTCACAAGCACCGACGTGCAATTTCATGGATATACATCAGCGTGCGTCTCGCTTCAGTTGCTCACCTTAGCTGTTGGCTCGTACTCCAATCCGACAACAGATATGAATACAGCTTCTTTCATAGGTCTAATTGTCCAATATCCTACCATCGTGGATAACGATGCACACAGTAAAAGAATATAGCGAAAAATTTCTTCTGCTGGTATGGTCCCCCAGAGCAACCCATGGCCGCCACTCTTGCTAATTTCGATCAAAGGTTCCATACGTCTTGGAGAGACATTATTCACTTCAGTTTGAAGTAGATCATTGTTCGGAGTATCATCCCGTACAATGCTGGAACGTTTCTGCGTCGATTTTCTCATATTCAGCTTTCAATGTACCTCACCACCAACCGTGAATGAACTCGAATGCTACTAGCTATGTTTGTTTGAAAATAATTAATAAATACTAAAGAGATTCTGAATGTTGTCATTGTTGTGTCCATTTTTTTCAGCTCTGCTTGTCTTTTCTAAAATAAAAACATCTACACGCCAAAAGTATCTATGGCAAATTGCCTTCTTAAAATTGACCGATTAATTTTCGTGATATTTTTTAGGAGGCTATGAATAATAGATTATAGCGGATAGCCTTCTGTTTGATTTAGATGACTATGTGAAGGGCTTAAATTTGATTATTTATGCGAGTGCAGTGTCAGTACACTCGCATTCAGTGAACGCCGAACAGCCCGAACCGCGTATTGACTATGCAGTAGATTGATATACATTCGGATCGCGAACACATATCAAAAATTTACAGATACCTGACGCGGTAAAGGCGCAGTGTACAGTCGGGGGGGAAAAGGCGAGGTTCACAGATATCTTTTCTACCTATTTTATTACGGAATTCAAAGACCAAAAAGTAATCTTCATGTTTTGGCAGGCAATGCACTGTGCAATACAATTTGTCGTTTATTGGTATCGAATCGAAAAGCATTCTTTTCCTGTGGTATTTATAGTTTGGGGTTGGGTTATTATCAAACCCGTAACTTTTGCAAGACTAATTACAGGCAGTGCCGACATGGTATTCTATGTCTGTCGTAGACTAAAAGATTTAATATCCGTTTTTAGCCGGGATGTAAAAGATTGCAATTTTGAAAGTATTGCCGCCGTTAGGTGTGACTATCATGACTTTCTTCAAAGCACATAACCGCTTTCAACACATAAACATGTCAAGCTGATTCGGCATTCAGAGGCTTAGCAAAGATATGACACATTGCGCTTTCTAATACGCTAAATATATTACACCGTTATTCATTTAGAAGGTGACAAATCAACTGACAATAGTGTCGGTATTCACATATTTGGAAGACACAGTTGTGGCTGATTTTTGGTCAGCAAGAATTTTTAGATCAAGTCTCAACTATAATATAACCCCCCCCCCCCACTAATAATAAAATGTAGCAGTTGCACTCTCAGTTCCCCCCCCAAATATGATGAAATGTAACAGCTGCACTCTCAGGCTCTGTCTCTCACTCACTCACTACCAAGCCTTGTTATGTTATTGTTGTACATACAGAATAAACGTTCTACGTTTAACGCTAACGTAATATTTCCTACAAGGTAAAGTTTAAACTGTATATATGTAACGCATACCCGGCTGACAACAATCAGATACATGTGACCAACAGACGAAAACGTTAGCCAGCAGGGTTCTCAGAATTGAGCCGGCCAGGGCCCAAAGATTTCTGATTTGCCAATTTCCACCAGTAAGCAGTCATACTCTTGCTCGAGTCATTAAAGTCATGACTCATGATTTAAGTCACAAGTGTCAAGCTGGTCAACAAAGATATAGTGACTAATAGTCTCTCTCGCTGTCTATTGATGAGAGACTTGAGAGTAGTTCTCCCATTCTCTCCACTAGCTACTAAAGATAGTAGAGTAGTCAGTAGAAAATACTACTAGTAGTAGAGTGTAGACTACTCTAGTAGTAATTTTTAGTAGAGAGTGATGTCATAAAACGTCGAGAGAAGAGCGCTCACATTAATAATCTGACAACAAAATGAAAAAAGGCGCACACTTCACACAGGGGCTGACAAGTGAAAACGTATACACATACAGTATACAGTTTACACACACGCGCGCGGAAGAGCGAGCGAGAGAGAAAGGGCTGGCTGAAAAGGGAGAGAGACGTTAGACGACTACGAGAAACGAGTGACGATTTGACAAGTTGACTCAAGTCCTGGACTCCTGGGTTCTCTAGACTTCTGAAGTCCTGATGTAATAAATTTTGACAAATAAATTCAACATTTGGATTGTCGAGAGAGAGTATGTATGGCGTACGCTATATACTATTCTCTCTCTCTCTCGGCTGCTCTCTCCATAGAGCTATGGCTAGAAAGAGTGAGAGGGATAAGACAAACTCTCGTATCTCTCTCTCTCTCTCTCTCTCTCTCTTTCTCTCACACACAAACAAGCACACATAGACTCTCTCGGAAAGAGATTGTTCAGAGGGAGACTCTCTCTCTCTCTCTCTCCCTCTCTCGAGTGTGTGTATTTGTTTGTACTTTATATTTAGTATACACTATACTGTACTAACTCTACAAAGTCTACGACTGATGGCCTAAGGGCTGGTAGCCTGGGCACTCAGGTTACCGACTCACTGCCAATGGTGGCTGGCGCAGCAAACCAGTGGTGTGACTGGTGACTGGTGACAACAGTGGTCAGTGATGGTGCTGGCGTGCTGGTGGCAGACACCCAGACAGGCAGCGTGCTGCGTTCAAAGGTGCTGATTCTGAATGCTGAAGGCTCATACTCTGAGAGTACTCAATAAAAATAGATAATTTGGAGGCATTTACTCTTACTACTCGCTCCATCAGAAATAAACAAATCATGAAATGAAAGGGTTGTGCAATTACAATGTACACTCTTGTATTTTTTTTAGGGTTTTTTTTCTCTAATCACTGATCACTGTGATCAGAAACATATGTACCTGCTACTCACTACTCTGGGTAGTACACATATTCATTATTCGCATAGGGTTCAGAACTCCATTAGGCAGCAAGTCTCCACTCTCCCCACTCCCCAGTGAGTCCTGTCTCCACTCTCCAAGAGTCCAGGTATGTACAGAAGTATGAGTCTATGACTCATCAGAACTGAGAAATTGAGAGAAGTCAAAACTCAAATACTGCTGCTTCAGAAGACTGTCTATTAATAAAAGAAAGATGAAGAAATGTTTTATATAAATAATTAAAGGAGCAAAAAACAAAAGAAAGAAATAAAAGGACGTATCATATGTAGATTCGTTTTTGTACATACTGCCTTGTGCAAAGTGCAAACTTCTCGGAGGACGGAGAGTCGGAGAGTCGGAGTATTTAAATACTAAATATGTACCGTACATATTTACCATCGATCCTGCCCTTGATGTTTGATAAATACTGTCAGTGTCAGACTGTCAGACTCACAGTCTGTACTCTGTCATCACTATTCGACAATACAATCAATTTGACATTTGGTAGTTAAATAGCAAAAATGAATACATCATCAATCAGCTGCGGTTAATCTATGGTCGCAATTAGGAATATTTTTGCCGCAGAGTATAACTTCAACAAGTTTGTCGGTAAATAAAATATTACTTAAAAAAAATAAAATGCGAGAACGAAAAAAAAAGACCCTCATTATAAAGAGTTGAAGATCAGGGCATTCAGGCCCAGGCCCAAGGGTGAAACGGCAGGCGCCAACTCCCTGCCAACTTTGCAGTAAAGTAGTTAACTACACAGCTTTCCATAAATACGTTTTGCATTGTATCGTATAAACGTTGATATCCGGATGGCCCAATACTCGTAGATTCGGGTGCATGTTCGGAGCTCTAAGGTTCAAAGCTATCTGAATATTTTTTCGCAGGGGTCCGCTAGATTCGGAAAAAGGCCATTTATTTTTAATCCTTTGACATGTAAATATACTTTAAAACTATATGCATCGTACGAAAGAGCGTTTCCGATAAACTGAGTAAAAAGAAACGGATTGAGGTGAAGACCGCGCGTTGGTAGAATAACTCCGATTGGCCCGGGTCCGTGCGTTGCCAAAAATGGTGATTTGCCTATTTTTATCATTCTGATACAAAATATTTTCAAAATGCAGAGCTGCACTTCCCGTCTTCCCAGGAGTGCAGCACACGCCACTATGTCAAATGGGGGTATAATACGTCCTACGAACGCACAATTTAGTAGCATACACTATCACATTAGACATACAAAAAGTACAGAGACACTATGAAGCTAATCATCGAACCGGATGCAGAGCATGTTGCTACCTATGCCGCTGACTATATCAAGAAGCGCATCAATGCATACGGCGCCGGGCCCGACAACTACTTCGTGCTAGGTCTGCCCACTGGAGGTACACCGGTCAAGACTTATAAAAAGCTGATTGAGTTTGTGAAAGCCGGCGAGCTTTCCTTTAAGTATGTGAAAACCTTCAATATGGATGAGTATGTGGGTCTTCCCGAGGACCACCCTCAGTCGTACCACACGTTTATGTTCGACAACTTTTTCAAGCACATCGACATCAACCCTGCTAACACACACCTGCTGGATGGCAACGCCAAAGACCTCACAGCCGAATGTGCGGCGTACGAGGAAAGGATTCTAGTGGAAGGTGGTATCGAGCTATTCCTGGGCGGTATGGGAAACGATGGTCACGTAGCGTTCAATGAGCCCTGCAGCTCCTTGGCCTCACGCACGCGTATCAAGACACTCACCTCGGACACCATTGTCACAAACTCACGTTTCTTCAATAACGATGTCTCAAAAGTGCCCAAGATGTCCCTGACTGTGGGTGTGGGAACCGTATTCGATGCTCGGGATGTACTACTGTTGGTGACTGGGGAAAGCAAAGCCCTGGCGCTGCACCATTGTGTCGAGAAAGGATCCTCCCACATGTGGACAGCTTCTGTGTTCCAACACCACGTGAACAGTACGATTGTGTGCGACGAGGATGCCACTATGGAGTTGAAGGTTAAGACTGTAAAGTATTTCAAGGATACGAGGGAAATCATCGAGAAGAACTTCCCAGGTGGTCAGTAAATAGATTTCTGCCGGGGTAGTCGTCGTCGACTGTCATCGGGTCTCGACTATATCTTGACCTAGCTGCTGATAGGAAAGAGGCATTCGGGATTTGCAAAACGTACTTATAATTTGGTAAACGACAAGCATTCATTTACATCAATAAATATATTAATTGAACAAAACTAAAAACTTGCCCAGAGAAAATGCATTGGGCTGCTATGTAACACGTATCGAAACAAAGCAAACTCAAAGCTGATAGAAAATTCCTGCTCCATCAAAAAGTAAGTATTGTATGCACACGTACACTTCTTTATCGAACTTAATATCGAAGTCCCGCATACCGTTTCTTTTGATAAAGCATTAACTTCCTGCTTAAACTCCTCCGACTTAAACTACGTCACTCGCCGATATATATAAATATATAGATAGATATATATATATATATATAAATCTATATATATATATATTCACAGAAACCGTAAAAATCATGCGTATAAATTTATACCTGGAATTGAATTTGCAAATGCATGCGTTACACACGAATATGTATATATATATATAATAGTAGTAATTATAATATATATATAACTATATAGCAATATAAC